CATTCCTTAGCTTTCAGTGAGGTTCCTAATGCCGTCTCCATATATATCAAAGTGAATTTTGTAAATGTATGAAACATACATACATATATATGTATGTATATATGTATGCCCTTTAGGTCTAGCTTCCACAAATGCATAAAAATGAATTGGCTTTTTGAGCTTGGCTTATCTCACATAACAAGATGATCTCAAGTCTATTCATTTATCTACAAATGACATAGTTTCGATGTTCCTTATGGCTGTGGAATAGTCCATGGAATATATATATATATATATATATATATATATATATATATATATTTGGCTGTTGTGAACAGAGCTTCAATAAACATGGGTATGCAGGTATCTGTCTTGTATATTGGTTTACTCTCCTTCAGATATATGCCCAAGAGTGGCATGGTGGGGTCATAAGGTAGGTCCATTTTTAGCTTTTCAAGGAAACTCCATATTGCTAGTTTAAATTTCCACCAGAAGTGGATGAAATTCTCCACCTTCATCTTTGCCAACATTTGTTATTTGTTTTCTTGATGACTACCATTCTGACTGGGGAAAGATGAAAACTTTGTGTGGTTTGGTTTAGAGCTTCCTTATGACTAAGGATGTTGAATATTTCTTCCTGTGTCTATTAATCCTTTGTATTTCTTCTTCTGATAACTGTTCATTTTCTATGCCTATTTTTATTTTATTTCATTTCATTTTGTTTATTTTTGTGCCAGTACTAGCGCTTGAACTCAAGGTGTAGATGCTGTCCCTAAGCATTTTTACTCAAGGCTGGTGCTCTACCACATGAGTTCCTCCTCTACTTCTGACTCTCTTGCCTGGGTTGGCTTTGAGCTACAATCCTCAGATCTCAGCCTCCGGAGTAGCCAGGATTACAGGCATGAGCCACTATCACCTGGCTTGACAACCCCAACTTTATAGTAATCTGTTAAAAGTATGGGAACTACCTCTTATCATCAGAGTCTGAGCTGGAGGCAGTATTGTTCAGAAAAATCCACCACGAGCCCATGGTGGGGAGACAGGCTTTGTTGAAACTGCACAGAACTCCGTGGCTGAAGACTGTCCAATAGCTCCTGATCTCACTTCAAAGATAAATAAGTGCCCATGAGTCTCACACTTTTTCTGTTCCTGGACATAGAGTAAATAATTTAGGATTTTCCTGATGTAAGGTGGCTACTGTGCTGTTGTATGACAATGGTGAGTGAGGCCCTAGGGATAAGGCCAGGAGGAAACAGAGATTAAGGACAGTCACTCTCAGAGTTGTCTATTGTCCTGATATGAAGGTAGTTAGAGACAATAGACAAGCTTGCCTGACTGTTCCAATAAACCTTTATTTGTCTCCTGTGCTGTAGGTAACAGCTCTCACGTCAGTGTATTTGCTCTACCTTCCTTTCTAGAATGTTCTTTTCCCCAGATTTTTGTATGAACAGCCCTGAAAGTTACCTAATGCAATTAATGGATTAGACAAATACTTGGGGAGTCAGCAAACAGGAGACTAAAAATAAGAAAATAATTTGGAAAGGACTTGATTTTTAGATCTTTTCAAGTTATTTGCCACTAGGGAGAAATCAAGTTTTGTTGATCTTCTTTGCACTTATTTGAAGCCTTGGTTGATTGTGTTCATTTCTCATTATTGGGGTGGGGGGGGGAGGAGGGAAGACACATGATCTTCCCCCATTACAGCCTCTCTGGTCTCTGTGAGGTCTTTCTGCTCTGGTAAACTCTGGCCTGAGGGCAGAGTTATTTTACTACTTGAGCCAGGCCTTCAGCCCTGTTTTTGCTTTTATTTATTGTTCTAGGTAGGGTCTCCTGTTTTTGTGGGGGGGTGGGTAGGGTGGCTTCAGACTGTAGTCCTTTTAACTACTGAATAGCCAAGATTATAGGCATGAGCCACCATGCCCAGCCCTGTAGGTCATATTTACCTTTGCCTCTGGCAACAAGTACAGTACTTGGCACACCAAGGCATAGAAGAAAATATTTGTTGACTGAAGAAAATGAGCAAGATAGTTGAGGGCTAACATTGATTCCACAAGATCATCTGGTGAAAGGTCCCTTAAAAGGGACCTAGAAACCAACTTGGAGAGTGAGACAGCTTATGTTTTTTTGTTTTGTTTTGTTTTTTTTTTATTGTGAGAATACTGTACAGAAGGGTTACAATTACATGGGCAAGGTAATGAGTACATTTCTTATCAAGCATTGTTGCCTCCTCCTTTGTTTCTCCTTCCCATCCCTTCCCATCTCTGACCCCCACCATCCCTCAACCCCACCCCTCCCGGCCAAAGTTGGAAAGTTCGTTTTTCCACATAACAACTTGTACATCTCATTGTTGCAATGAGTCCACCTGAATCCCTATTTAAATGATTTGTTTTTTTCCCTTCCCCTCCACAAATTATACCAACATCAAATACAGTGAAAGCAGGAGTTATACTGTAGGGGAGGGACATACAAAGCAACAAAGAAATCATCTTATAAATATGTTAGAAACAATTGCATGAAAGAAAAAAAACATTTGAATACTTATCTTGGGGTTCATTTCCCTAACATCAACCTATCTGACCTTTTCTGCTTATATCAGACATATACTAGTTATTGCAAATAAAGGAAACCATGGGACCTATGTTTCTTACTTACTTCACTTAATATAATTTTTTCCAAGTCTTTCCATTTCCTAACAAATGGGGCAATGTCATTCTTTCTGATGGAGGCATAGAATTCCACTGTGTATATATACCACATTTTCTTGATCCATTCATCTACTGAGGGGCATCTGGGTTGGTTCCATATCTTAGCTATGGTAAATAATGCTGCAATAAACACAGTCATGCTGGTAGCTTTAGTGTGGTCTTGTTTGTGATCATTTGGGTAAATGCCTAAAAGTAGGATTGCTGGGTCATAGGGGAGCTCTATGTGGAGTCTTTTGAGGAACCACCATACTACTTTCCAAAGTGGTTGAACAAGTTTACACTCCCACCAACAATGCAGTAAGGTTCCCTTCTGAGACAGCTTATGTTAACAGAGTTAAATCAATGTAGGGAAAAGCAAATTTGTGAACAGAAGCGTTTGAACTAAATTGATAGAAGACTACTGCTGTTTCATTAGAAGATTTTCTTTTCCAGCTCTTTATTCACCTTTGATGAATTTGGTCTGTTCTTCAAAAATCTTTTTTTCCTTCATACTTTCCTTAGCTTTTGATGAACTTGTAGCTTATTCTTCAGCTAAACATAACAATGTCAACATCTGACAATACAGAATTTATTGGTAGGAACCAAACTTCTTCTATGTGTATGCATGAATGTACAGAGAGTAGATGAAGCTTCAGGACTGCTGGTTTGGGCACTGCACAGAAATGCAATGTGCCATGGACATGTTCCTGCACTCATACTTCTGGGTGCGAAAGGAATAAGACCCAGTTAAACAATGGGAGTGTTTGTTTGAGGCCAACCCAAGTGGATCTCAAATTTGCAATTCTTCCTCCGCAACCTCCCAAGCACTGGGATTACAGGCCTTAACCATCACTTGGCCATAAAATGTTAGGTTGTTTTTGTTTTTTGTGTATGTGTATATGTATGTGTGTCTGTGTGTGTGTCTGTGTTGGTACTGGGGCTTGAACTCAGCATCTGCGTACTGTCCCTTAGCTTTCTTTGGCTCCAGACTAGAACTCTACCACTTGAGCCATGTCTACTTCTGGCTTTATGCTGGTTAATTGGTGATGAGAGAGTCTCATATTTGTCTGCCTTAGCTGTCTTTGAACCCTGATCCTCAGATCTCAGACTGTCCGAGTAGCTAGGATTACAGGCATGCATCAGTGGTGCTTGGTAGAAGTCAGATTTTGTTGGAGCCTCTGAAGGAAGTAAGCTGGGAGCTGAAATGAGCAGAGTGGTGAGGACGTGGCTTGAAGCAGTCCTCTGAAGGACTGGGAGAGGTACACAGGCAACATGGCCGAAGGGATGGAGGGCTTGACCAGTAACAAGAACTGAAAGGAAGGCAGTGGGAGTGAAAAAAAAATGAAGAGCCAGAGGGATGGTGACATGCCCATCACTCAGAGAGGTTGTATTCAAGAGCTTGAGTTTATTTTTTTACTAGGGCAGGGGGCTCACATAGGACAGGGACATCATGTAGTGGGTGTCACAGGCCATGGCTGTGGTGTCTGTATGCTGAGTGCAGAGCAGGGTGGGCTGAGGGCTGCCTGTTGCAGTCATCCACATAGGAGATGACACAGAATGGACTGGCCATGCAGGCAGTGGAGGCTGAGAGAACAGGGGAGGTTAGAGTGACCAGAGGCAGTAGAATTGGCCGATTGGCTGATGAATTGCTGAATTCACTGTCATCTTTGAGTGTCATCAATCAGTGTCCAGCTGGAAGGACAGAAATCACTGTTGACATTTTCAATAAAGGGTGTTTAACATGGAAAAGTATTAGTGGGGGAGGAGTTCACAGGGACTCACGCCTGTAATCCCAGCAACTCTGGGAGGCAGACATCAAGAGGTGATAGGTTGAGGTCGGCCCAGGCAAAAAGTTCCTAAGACCTACCAGGTACTGGTAGCTCACACCTATAATCCTAGCCACTCAGAAGACTGAGATCTGAGGATCATGCTTCAAAGCCAGCCCAAGCAAGAAAGTCCATGAGACTCTTGTCTCCAGTTAGCCACCAGAAAACTGAAAGTGTAGCTGTGGTTCAAACTGGTAGAGTGCTAACCTTGAGCAGAAAGCTCAGGGGCAGTGCTTAAGCCCTGAGTTCAAGCTTCACAATCACCACCATCACCACCACCAAAAACAATCCTAAGCCCCCTATCTCAATAAAAAAAAGCCGAGTGTGATAGTGTGAGTCCATGATCACAGCAAGGCTGTTCAAGGATGTAGATGGGAGGATTTTCAGACCTGGACAAAAACTTGAGACTCTCTCTGAAATATAACTGAAGCAACAACAACAATAACAATCACAACAACAAAGGTTGGAAAGCTGGAAGGAGCAAGAAGGGAAGATGTGGTGACCTAGGGCTATGCAGCTGCAGGAAGTCATTGTGATGACTGTGGCTGGAGGAATAAAAGGAGGTGCAATGCTCCCATGGCCTCAGACCCTGTGGGAAGATACTGATGCAGGTGGAAATGGTCTTGCCTATGTGGTTGATGCCCATGCTGGAACTGCTAAAGGCTACAGGACCCACTACTGCTGGCCTTTGACTGGCCTCACCACTGTCAAGGCTTTATTTATAAAGAAGGTGGGGGAGAGTTTCTCTCTTATTTCATGCAGCTCCTCACCATCACTTTCCACTGGCAGCAGGGTCCTAGGCCAGCTTGTGGGGGGAAGAGGTAGGATGGGGTGAGGGGGAGGGAAGTCTGGGAATTCACAAGACTTCAGCCATCCCCAGCCAAGCAAGATGCACAGAATGTCACAGGGGAACTTAGCTCAAACACCCCAAAGACCAGCATAGGAAGCAATTCGAGATTTGTCTTAATTTTTTTAATTTAAAATTTTTATTTTATTGTAAAAGTGTTGTACAGAGGGGTTACAGTTACTTAAGTAAGGTAATGAGAACATTTCTTGTCAAACATTGTTACCATTCCTTGGTTGTTTTTTTTTTTTTTTTGGTTGGTCGTGGGGCCTGAACTCTGGGCCTGGGCGCTGTCCCTCAGCTCTTCAGCTCAAGGCGAGCGCTCTACCACTTGAGCTACAGCGCCACTTCCCATTCCTTGGTTTTTCTCCCACTATCCCTTCCCTCCCCAACTACTTCCCCCTCCCCAAAGTTGTAAAGTATCTTTGTTGCACTGAGTCATCCTCTGTCCTTGTTTCAACATTTTGTTATTCCCCTTCTATTTCTCCAAACAGATAAACGTATATACAAGATTCAGGGTACCAGAATCAAAGATAGTGATTGCCAAGGATAAGCCAAAAGCAAAAGAAAAATGAAATAAAATAAAAAGAAAGAACTTGATATAGTACATTAATGACAATGAGGTCAACAACCAAAAAATTCCTGTGTTGTTTCCATGTCTTGGAGTTCATTTCAATTAGCATCACTTTATATTGTCATATGTACATAGCTATTGAGCTATTGTGATCTGATCCTCTGCTAGGACTATCCTAGACTTATACTAATTATTACAAATGAGAGAAACCATGGAGCCTATGTTTCTTTGGGCCTGGCTTACTTCACTTAATATGATTTTTTTCCAAGTCTTTCCATTACCTTACAAATGGGGCAATGCCATTCTTTCTGATGGAGGCATAGAATTCCATTGTGTATGTATACCACATTTTCTTGATCCATTCATCTACTGAGGAGCATCTGGGTTGGTTCTGTATCTTAGCTATGGTAAATAATGCTGCAATGAATATAGTTGTGCTGGTTGATTTAGTACGGCCTTGCTTGTGATCATTTGGATAAATGCCCAGGAGTGGGATTGCTGGATCATAGGGGAGTTCTATGATTAGTCTTTTGAAGAACCTCCATACTGCTTTCCAGAATGGTTGAACCAGCTTTCATTCCCACCAATAGTGTAGTAGCATTCCCTTTTGGCCACATCCTTGCTAGCATATATTATTATTTGTTTTCTTGATAATGGTCATTTTAACTGGGGTGATTTGTCTTTAAATAGGAAAATCAAGCTGGTGCCGAAGGCTCATGCCTATAATCCTAGCTACTCCGGAGGCTAGGGCTGAGAATTACTGTTCAAAGCCAAGCCTTGAGGCAGGAAAGTTGTGAGATTCTTAATTCCAATTAGCCAGCAAAAAGCTGGAAGTGGAGCTGTGCCTCAAGTGAGAAGCTCTGGGTTCAAGCCCTAGTATCAGCATAAAACATGAACTTAAGTTTCTACATTGGAAAAAAATTAGAAAATACAATGAACATCCAAAAGTTCCATATTCCCATATACTCAGAAACAACTGCTTGTAATATTTAGTACCTTTCACCCCCTTCCTTATCTTGTATTCTGTTTGGTAGCCAACTATTCCAAAGGTATTCAGTAAAGCAGTTGATAGACATTTCTTATGCTCCAGCAATCTTCCGGGGTTGTTTATGTTTTTACCACATCTTCTATTATAAAGAAAAGAATTATTGCTTGAATACAAGTTTTCAATTGAAGATAACAATTGGTGAGGAATATAATTATGACCTCCTATTTGACTACTTTGAGATTATCTGTTTAAGGGGGGAAAACCCCTAAATTATTTATGTGTAAGGCAAAATGCTAGGTGATTGCTTATCTGTTCATTTCCTCTGTTGGGGAGAAGTTCATAGAACTTCCAGGCTGGATGTGTGCAATGAGGAGGTAGAGAGGTACTTTGGCTGCAGAACCTACTAGAACTGTCTATTACCCCTGTATGTCTGCTCTCTCTAAGTCAGACTTCTGAGTCAGAAGCCAGTCTCTGCAAGGTGTGAGACATCCGGACCTAAGAACAGTATAGCCAAGAGTAGAAACTGTTGATTTGTAGTTTCACATGAACATTCAAGTCTTGGGTATTAATTGTTACAAAGCATTTAAAGCTAGTAGTTGAAAACTGATGTTGATTGGCTTAAAAAAAAAAAGAAATGTAGCTGCAGGCTGGTGGCTCATGCCTGTAATCCTAGTTATTTAGGAGGCTGAGATCTGAGGATCTTGGTTCAAAGCCAGCCCTGGCAGGAAAGTTCATGAGACTCTTATCTTCAATTAATCACCAGAAAACTGGAAGTGGCACTGTGGCTCAAGTGGTAGAGCACTAGCCTTGAGCTGAAGAGCTGAGGGACAGTGCTCAGGCCCAGAGTTCAAGCCCCACCACTGAAAAACAAACAAACAACAACAACAACAAAACAAGGAAATGTGCCAGGCAGCAGTGGCTGGAACCCATAATCATAGCTGCTTAGGAGGCTGAGATCTGAGTATCATGGTTCAAAGTCAGCCCAGGAAGTTGAGACTCTTATCTCCGGTTAAACACCAATTCCCCACCCCCACAAAAAACTTCACCCTTAGGGACAGCACCCAGGCCCTGAGTTCAAGTCCTAAGACTGGCACACACACACACACACACAAGTGAGGAAATGTATTCTCTCCCATCATTGAAAGTCCTGAGGTAGGCCAGGCTCCAAAAACTGAAACATAAGCAACTCCATGTTGTCACCAAGGTCCCAAATCCTTTTGTATTTTATTTTTTTTTAATTTTGTTTTGTTCTGGTACTAGGGCTTAAACCCAGGACCTTTTGCTCTTGCTCTGCTTAAGGCTGGTGCTGTACCACTTGAGTCACAGCTCCAATTGTGGCTTTTTGCTGCTAATTGGAGAGAAGAATTTCAAAGGTTTTTCTGCCTAGGCTGGCTTTGAAACAGATTCCTCAGATCTCAGCCTCTTGAGTAGCTAGGATTACAGGTGTGAGCTACCAGCACCTTGCTCCAAATTCTCTCAGCATTCTGCTTTGCCTTTTTTCATGTTGCCTTCATCTGGTGACTGTCTATCTTCACAGAGACAAGATGGATGCCGGAAGCCATGGGACTGAGTTTTCTTTCTTTGTATTGAACAGGAATGAGACGTTTTCCAATATAAATTACCTTGTGTCCAAAGCAGGCCAGTGATTCTCATTACCATCGCATAAATAACTATTAATTGAAAATGACTATTAATTGTGTGCTATACTTTTATTTATGCAGATAACTTATTATATATTATTTTTTTTAAAAAAACTGACCAGCTTTAGCTCCAGAAATCTTAATTTATTAATCTGGGTGCAGGTTCAGAAACTCTCAAGTCACTCTAACATCCATCCAACGTTCTAAGGCTCTAGCTTCAGCTGGTGTAGGCCACCTGCTCCCCTGCCCACTTACTTGCGTGGGCCGATCTGGTTAGAGCCAAGTAGTCCCTAGAGTAGGTCTAGACCAGCAGAAGCAGAACTCCTGGGAACTGGTCAGGAATGCAAATTAGAGGCCCCACCCAAGACCTACTGAGTCAGAAACTCTGGGGCAAGGCTCAGCAATCTGTGTTAACAATCTTGCATGCTAGCTGATTGCCAAGGACAATCTAGTTAGAGACACCCCCCACCCCCTTCCCCACCTTACATTGATTAGGCAGACTCTTTCTCTGGAAAGAGGGAGGAGGTAAATAGGAGAATAGCAGAGATTTGGGGGTAGGGGGTGATATCAGCTGGAAGGTAACATCAGCTAGCTGGACCCAGAGACTGGCTGTACAGACAGGTCCTCCCAGTGGTCCTCCAGCCCTCAGCTACTAAAATGAGTGGACAATACTGTTTTCTCTTCAGATAGTATAAATCTTCTCCTTTTACTCTAATGAACAAACGGGAAGGAAGAAGGCTCGTTCCTAGCTCTCCATTCCTTCCTTCCTTTGGGCTCTGTGGGCCAGTTTCTGTAGTAGTTGAAGGGCTGGGAAGATGACATGACTTGGCAAGCACCCTGGAAAGTTCTGTGGACTTAATTTCAACCTCTGCACAACATCAACAGGATCCTAAGGGGTGTGTGTGGGGGGAGGGAATCATTATATAAAAATGAAAAAAATCTGGATAAAGGACTCATTAATAATCATGTATCAAGATTAGCCCTTAAATTATGACAAATCTACTATACCACAGGGGCCCTGGCTGGTTGTAGGGTATACAGGAACTTCATATAAATCTTCCCAGTTTTCCTGTAATTCTATAACTGTTGTGACATAAGGTGGTTTTTTTTTTCTTAAAAAAGCACTATAAGGTAAAAATTCTAGTGAATGGAACAGCCTTTGTAAAAAGTAAGCAAACAAACTGAGCACGGGGGCTTATGTCTATAATACCAGCTACTTAGAAAGCAAAGACAGAAGGATCATGGTTGGAGACCAGCCCAGACCTGCCCCCTACCCAAAAAAAAAAAGTTAGCAGAATCCCATCTCAAAGAAACTTGGCACAGTGGTGTGCATCTATAATCCCAGCTATGCAGAAGGTATGAGAAAGTTGGAGGGTCTCAGTCCAAGGCTGGCTCTAGGCCAAAAGTTGGAGACTCTAATAATATTCCTTATTACAAGGACACAGATTGATGGGCAAATAACTAATGTACATGTATTTTCACAATGAGCTTGGGTTTTGTCTCTGTTGCTCCGTTTCAGAGTCCATGCCTGGCTCCAGCCTGTCTATGCCCCCCTGTTTAAGCACACACTGATGTTTGCCAGTCACAGTATCTCTCCATCCTCTGCCAAGTGCAGTGCTGGCAGCCCAAGCTGATTGGGAGGTCCTTGATTGATTGCTAAGTGCCCTGCCTAGCTGGGATCGTGCCTCTGGATTGAACTCCTCCCTAAACTGCCCATGCTTTGCAACCAAAGTCATCTAGACTAGCTTAAGGCTATCAAACAGAACTTGCTCCCATGACTGTTCTACTTACAACTAGTTGTAATTTTACTCTGAAATAATTGAAATATTTTTGGAATAGTAAACTATGCAACCTTGGGATTTGTTTGTTTATTGTGCCAGTATGGGGCTTGAACTCAAGGCTTCATATTCTTGCTGGGCTTTTTTTTTCTGCTCAAGGCTGATGATCTACCCCTTGAGTTATACCTCCACTTCTAGCCTTTTTGCTGGTTAATTGGAGATAAGAGTGCCTTAGATTTGCCTGCCCAAGCTGGCTTGACATCTTGAGCTTCACATCTCAGCCTCCTCCATAACTGGGATTACAGGCATGAGCACCCACACCCTGTTCTAGCCCTGGGATTTAAAGTCCTGGGTGAACGTGTTCGTTTGAGGAAGTGGATATATCGTATTTTGTGCTTTATTGGCCACACCTTCTCTACCAGCTATTGTAGGTTACCAGTCCTTTCAAACTCCCTCTGAATCATTTGTAGGAGTTTCAGTTGCATCTACAAAGAACTTAAAGCTAGAAAATCTTTAGCAAGCTCATCAAGGTTTATACCAGGCTTCTCTGGTTACCCGTTATCCATGGAAGATGGAGGAGACCTTTGGCAGGATCCCTGTGGCACCTGGCCACACCGGGTTCAAGCAGCAGTGGGGAAAACATTTCACTTGGGGATTCCCACTCCCAGGACAGGACCATCCACCACAGCCCACAGGGGAGACAAAGTCAAGAGATAAATACTCTGCGGAACTTCTGACTGCCCCTTCCACTGGCCTTTGAAGTTTTCTTCTGGACCAGGCTAACAGCTTGATACTCTCTCAGCACATTCTCAGGAGGTGCCTCAGTCTCTTTTGCAAGTAAAACTCTCCTGCAGGACTCTGGTCCAGAATCCCATGTATATGATGCATGGCTCAGGGTCAGACACGAGTTGTCTGATAGTCTTCACTAGGCAGCTACTAAGCAACCGAGGTCTGAGGATGATGATTGGCTTCTGCCATCATGCAGCTGTTGTGGGATTTCAATGGCAGCTCCTGTGTGCTTGCCAAGTGGAGTCTTTACCCCAGGGGGCAGCACCTCCTGCTGGATGGTTATTCCAAAGGCATGCACTTAGCACTGACTGGGCTGGTCCCCTTTTCCCACCAATGTTGCTTAGCCCCTCCTCCACTTCCCTCCAGAACATCTTGTAGGTCCTTACTTGACCAGGAGCCGCTTCTATCATACAAGCAACTGCTTCCTTGGCTCTTGGCCTGAACTTCCCTCAGAGGCACAGAAGTGGGCTATTTGGAGGAAAAATGAAGTTTAAAGGCTGCATTGTGTGCAGGTGGCTCATGCTTGTAATCCTAGCGGAATAAATGAGATCAGAAGAATTGAGGTTCCAAGACAGCCCAGGCAGAAATGTCTGAGAGACTCCATCTCCAAAATAACCAGCAAAGAGCCAGGCTGGAGGTATAAATTCAGTGGTGGTAGAGCACCAAGAAAGTACAAGACTCTGAGTTCAAACAATACTGTAAAAAAAAAAAAAAGTGAAAAAGTTTAGGAGATTCTGTACAAAATGGAAATCGCTTTGCAGGTAATTTATGCTTTTTAAAAATGCTGATTCTGAGTGGGAGAACAGCAAAGTAGGGGTAACAATGCTCCACAAGAAATGTACTCATTACTCATGTAACTGTAACATCTCTGTACACCATCTTTATTTATTTATTTATTTTTGGGTCCGGTCGTGAGGCCTGAACTCTGGGCCTGGGCTCTGTCCCTCAGCTCTTCAGCTCAAGGCTAGTGCTCTACCTCTTGAGCCACAGCGTCACTTCCGGCTTTTTTCTTTTTGATTATGTGGTGCTGAGGAATCGAACCCAGGGCCTCAGGCATGCAAGGCAAGCGCTCTACCACTGAGCCGCCTTCCCAGCCCCTGTACACCATCTTTAAAATAAAAATTTAAAAATCCCGATTTTAATCTCTGGTGATAAAGGAGTTAAAAATCAATTTATCTGTGGATAGTTAAAAAGTCTTCTAGGCGGTGTCCCACCTTCCTGTGAGATTCAGTTGCTTGCGAAAGAAGTCAAGAGAGACCTAGAATCCAGTGTATGTTTTAGGGTGCATAGCAAGGTCTATTGTTACAGGTGCATGTGATTAAATTTGAAGGTAGAATTTCACAGCATCGCGCTGCAGTAAGAAGCTTGACTGGTGATTGGGTGAAATACACTATTTGAGCCGTTCAGCAGATATGACCCAGCATTTCCTTCCTGTACACACTTCTCCCCCCGCTCCCTATGGAAGCACACAGGACCTTGCACATAGTAGGGGCTCAGGCAAACATTCATTAATGTGTTCATCTCAGTTACAACCGAAAAATCCACAGCCCTCTATTGTTAGTTGCTTGATCCTCCTGAGCCGGGGTAGGGGGAGGTGTGTGTGTGGGGGGGGGGTGGGCAGACAAGCAAAGGAAAAGGAAACAAGCGAAGGCACCAGGGACAGCTAGAAACGAGATTATGGCTTAATGCACGCGTTGGCTCCCTAGACGTGAATAGGGCAGCTAAAGTAAGCAGTTTATTTCATTTACATTTCCAGATGGCGGATCCAGCTTTTCAGGTTTGTTGTGGGGAAACCGCACGCAAATCGAGAGCCTTCAAAAGACTCCTCGGTTGACACTGAGGTCCGTTTGGGGCTGGTGAGCTGTAACTCAGACGGGCGGAGGAGGGGGAGGGCTGCCAGGGGGTGGGCGGGGCTGAGGTGGGCGGGGTCAGGGCGTGTGGTGGGCGGGGCTCGTGACGCGCGCGGTCCTCGCTTTAGGGGCCGGGCCTCCGCCTCTCCCCGCCCCCGGGCCGCCAAGGCAGCGGAGGTTGCTCCGCAACTCCTTTAGGGGCCCTGGGACTCCCGGCTGGGCCAGTCCAGCGCTGGGTTGGTGGAGTCTCGTGCACCTCCCGCGGGGCCCTGGACGGGGATCCCTGGTGCCCAGAGTTACCAACAACTTTCTCCCCTCCCTGGCGCGACGCGGGTGGCTCCGGGATCGTGGCCGCCGCAGGTTGCTGAGCCCCGGCCCCCCCCCCCGCCCCGGCTCCCTGCACTTCGGTGTCAGGCTCCCGGAGGTGGTTCCCTCTCTCGGGGGTGCACCCTGGGGTCCCGGATCTCGGCTCGGCGGGCGAGATGCCTCTGGGACACATCATGAGGCTGGATCTGGAGAAGATCGCCCTGGAGTACATCGTGCCTTGCCTGCACGAGGTGGGCTTCTGCTACCTGGACAACTTCCTGGGCGAGGTGGTGGGCGACTGCGTCCTGGAGCGGGTCAAGCAGCTGCACTACAACGGGGTCCTGCGGGACGGCCAGCTGGCGGGGCCGCGTGCCGGGGTCTCCAAGCGGCACCTGCGGGGTGACCAGATCACGTGGATCGGGGGCAACGAGGAGGGCTGCGAGGCCATCAACTTCCTCCTGTCCCTCATCGACAGGCTGGTCCTGTACTGCGGGAGCCGGCTGGGCAAATACTACGTGAAGGAGAGATCCAAGGTAGGACCGGCGCGCGCGCGCCTGCGCGCGGGGGGCCGGGTGCGTGCAGCCACGGCTGGGGCGCGGTGGGGGCAACCTGGAGCCTAGAGGCCGGTGCACGTCACCTTCGCCGGGCTGTGAACTTTGCCTTTTAACCAAGAAAGCAACCTGGTGTGTCTCTTGCCCTATAACCCCACCGCCTCCCGTGCCAACTCTTCTCAGAAGGGGGCTCAAGATGGGTTGACTGTTGCCTTTGAAACGATCGCCCTGGACGAAAGTGGCTTTTAGTTTGATTTTTAAGACATGGGATTTCTCAAGTAACCGAAGGAGGAACAGGATGTTAGACACGTTGAGATGTGCCTCAGTGTACCTATGATCTTCAGACTATGTAAAATACACCGAAACTTGCCTTTCGTTTACGGATTCCTAGAAATGCTCTTGAATTCTGGAGGCAGTGGTGATTTTTGCACTGTGGAAATTGGTTTGTGGGTTTTGACAAGGGTGGGAAGGGAGAGTTTCATCGTTGAACAAAGGTAAAAAAAACTCTCTTCATTCCTGAGTGCTGCCCTTGTTTGACCTATTGGACCCAGGACATTGATCCGCCTGATTGAAAATTCTCACCACCATTACCACCTTCTTTTCCTAACTGCCCGTCGACCACACAAACAACCAGATAAGAATCATCAGAGAAGTACATTAGTACCTCTGTGTAGACACTTGGGGTTTTGTCCATATGGCTGAAAGAGACTGAGATGTTTATTTTGGAAACATTTACAGGTAGATTAACAGAAATATGGGAGCAGGTAGATGCCATCATGTGGGTGCAAGTACATTACTTTGGGGTGGTCTTGTTACTTGCTTTTCTTTCATCCACTTCACACGTTAGTCCAGCCGGGAATCCATCCTGTGGCAAGTCGGAGTGATTTGCTTTTGTTTTGTGGTCTGATCTCAAACTTGGAAAAACCTTTTGAAACCGCAGCAGAGTGTGGCACCGTGTGAGGGAGGGTGAACCCTCATCTCGGTAGCATTCTTTGATAACTGTAGTATTTCCCAGTGTGTGATTGGTCTTGGAATAAGCGATTGTTGTTTTGTTTATCCCGTTTGTGAGGAGAAGGTTAAGGCTGAAAATGGGTGAAGGGGCTGCAGGGGATGAGTGCAGTAGGGGCCTGATACTAAGAGAACTTTGTAAACTTTTTTTTTTTTTTTGAGACAAGGTCTCAAGGTCTCAAGTTCAAGGCCCAGGCTGGCCTTGAACTTGATCCTCCTGAAGTGCTACCCACACTTGTCACATCTTTTTGGTCAGGTTGTTTTTGCACTTAAGGACCTGTCTTGTTTCCTGGGCTGGGGATTGGGGTAGATATGGGGGAGGGGAAAGTTAGCTTCTGCCTCGCTGGGCTCTTTCTTGTAAGTTTAATTTGGATGAGCCAATGGCTTCTTATCACTTAAAGGTTCTTTTAACTCAGATGTTAGGAATTCCACCCCACCTACTACCCCTGCCCTCCCAGCATTCTAGGAATGAATTTCGCTTGGAGGGGAGTCAGAATTAATTAGTAGAATGAAGTCACTAACATAGTTGAAAATTAAATTTTTTTTTTTTGCGTTGACTTAATAGAAGAGAGTAGGGTTTCCGGCTAGAATTTCATTCAGATGGAATTAAAAAGCACCATGTAAGTTGCGGTAAGGAGAACAATTAGATGTGTCTCTTCACTTACACCCTGTCTTCTAGATGGCATAAACAACTTCTCAGTTAAACTTGTCACAAGGTGACTGAATTGAAAAGCAAATCATTCCTTTTGTTGCCTGAAGAGACATCTCATATCCAGATTTCAGCCTTTGGCTGTTTTGGCACAAAGCTATTCTGCCTTGCCCTTTAGAAGGATCACCTCTAGATTGGAACATTCCCTGGCTAATGAGAACCAAAAGTAATCCAAGCTTGAGGGAAAGAAAATAGTAGAGTCGAAAACATTTCTTTTTCAAGTTTAGTTTGCTTGTATGAGGGTGTCTGTGGACTTCAGTCTCTAACTCAAAGTTCATTATTAAAACGTTGTTGGAAACATATTCCAGTTCTATGTGATGTATTTCACTTTTACCTTAATTTAACCGAGTTCTTTACTTGCTTTTATCTTTTAGTTGAGTCCTTTTCTGTGTAAGATCTTTTCTGTATCCATCCCAGGGTAAGGGCATAGAGGGACCTAGTTTCCTGCAAGTTTTGGGTAGAAATTAAAATTTTCAAAGAGAATTTATACTTTATTAAGGAAATTTCAAAACATATACTAATGTAGAGAGGCTAATTTTCTAAACATACACAAATGCAGAGAGGCTAATTGCTGTATATAGATTTAGTTTAGGTTCCCTCCCACTCCCACTTTTAGGTACTTTATAGTGTCGGAGTTACGTTTAGTAATTCATATGCCCTAATTAATTTTTGGGAGGGCTGAACTTAGAACAGTCATGGTGAAATGTAATAATGCTTTTTATCTCATTGAAGCAATAGTCAAAGCATTTGGTGTGGAAGAGTCTATAAAGATATACTAGGTGGTTCCATTTCTTGCCAAAAAAGCTGATACTTGTCAACTTCGTTGGTGAGAAATCCAGGGTGGAAATGGGAGAGAGTGCGAGGGAAGGAATGACATTTTCCAAAAGCAAATGTACTTTTTACCTGACTTATATAACTGTAACCTCTCTGTACATCACCTTTATAATAACATAACATTTTAAAGAAATATATCCAGGGTGAAGACCCTTTGGGTAAGTAGTTCCCTATAATGTACAGCAGTATGGCGCCCCCTAACCTCAAGCATGAGCATTGCTTTTAGACTTGCAAAGGATTTCTTATCTGTTACTCCCTTTTGGAGATTTTAGAACTCATCCAAGATAAATACTGGTTATAACTTGTTTCTTTTTCTTTGGCTGTCCGGATCTTGTAAATGGCCATTTTCCAGAGAACGTGTAATTTATAGAACTAAATGTCCCCATTGCTTGAAGCAGTTCCTTGTAGACTTACCAGTTAACTCTAATAATAACAAATACATTTTATTGAGCAGCTTGCTCTGTCTGGCACAGTATTAAACACTGTACAAATACTATCTTATTTAATCCTCAGAGCCAGGACTTAAACAAATTGAGTGCTTAAATAATTGACCTAAAGTCTCAAGAAGGGTTTATGAAAGGGTTTAGGGGCTTAGGGTAGGAGTTACCAAACTTTATGGCCTGTTAGTTAAATTTCTTAGGTTTCATCTAGTGTAAAATGAGAAAAACAAATGCTTTTGAAGGAAGGGAATGTTAAGTATAATATACGTAAAGTTCTTAGAATTCTAAGCATGTATCGTTATTACAGGCTTTAAATGGAGATGAGATTCTAACCCACATCTCTGACTCCAGAGTCTATGTTCTTGACCTTTATGATTTCCTACTTGTCTTCTTTTCATGTGCTCAGCGGGCACCTGTGGAGTGTTCATGCTAGGGTTCTGTGCAAAGGTAGGAGCACAACTGAGAACAAGCTTCCAATACCATCTACTTAAAAAAAAATGTCTCTCTGCCGGTATGGGGGCTTGAACTCAGGGTCTTGCACTCTCACTTGACATTTTCACTCAAGGCTGATACTCTACCATTTGAGCCATACCTCCACTTCTGGCTTTTTGGTGGTTAATTGGAGATGGGAGTCTTTCAGATTTATCTTCCTGGGCTGACTTTGGACCAATGTCTTCAGATCTTAGCTTTTTTTTTTAATTTTAATTTTTATTTTTGGTCCTGGGGCTTGAACTCTGGCCTGGGCACTGTCCCTAAGCTCTTCCACTCAAGCCTAGCACTCTACCACTTGAGGCACAGTGCCACTTCCGGTTTTCTGGTGGTTAGCTAGAGATAAGAGTCTCATGGACTTTACTGCTCAGTCTGCCTTTGAACCACCATCCTCCTCAGATCTTAGCTTCCTGAGTATCTAGGATTACAGGCTTGAGCCACCAGGGCCTGGTGGATTTTAGCCTCTTGAGTAGCCATGTCTCTTTTAACTACAGGTTTCTGTAGTTCAAGATAGATTAAGTCAGAAGATTTGCATACAATCAAGAAAGAAAGGGGGAAAAAAAACATTGAAATGGATTAATGGAGTACATTTGACAAGAAAATGAAATGCTATGCTAGTATGCTCCTATTGCTATTTTTAGGAAAAGCATTAACAAGGTGGGTTGTGAAGACACTTACCAGAGTGGCTCTGACCATGGTGTTGTGAGGCTACATTGTGACCAGAAAGACAGGCCTTCTGTAGAAGCAATCCAGAGAAATGATGAAATTGCAAAAAAGTTCATGATTAAAAGAAAATGTGTTACAGGGCAGTGGGTTTATTCCCCTGCTGTCTTGCAGTAATAAATTTGGCCAACCCTTCTCATGTAATGTCAGGAATATCCATTACTTAGTGTAGCTTATCCTAATTGGAAGCTTCTTTAAGCAAAAGTGGAATGATGTGCTGGGAACATACAGGTCACTTGTAGGACCCAACTATAGGGAATGTAGTCAGGGTTTTCGGAAGACTGGTACCATGAAATAGTCCTTCATATCATGGCCAACTGGTACATTAATTCTTTGCTTCTCTGCTTGTGCCTTTTGTTTCTTCTCTCGCCTTCCAATGTAGCTTTTGTTCTGATTCCATGTGCATGGCTCAAGATGGCTGCCAGTTATGGCCTCCTTACCCTTCAGTTGGAGGCTTAGGAGACAAATAAGACTGTCCCACTTTGACTCAGGGGACCTATGAATCTTGGTTGGAGGTGTTGAGAGCCATGTAGAATCATGTCACAAATACGGTAATATGGTTGCCAGAGCCCCCAGGACAAGTATAGGATTTAGAACATAGAGATTGTGAATTGGCTACCATGAATGGTGTCTCTACAATTAAAATCTTTAAAATCTATCTGTGAATAAGATATTTTAGGAAAGGTGGCACTGAGCTTGAAGTACTGAACATCTTTATGGAAGGGAATGGACTGTGTTCTGTAAATCATATCCTTTGAGTAATTTCTTCCTGAAGCTAC